TAGTAATTGAAGCCAAAATGTCAAGACTAATCTAAAATTTATGAAAAGGTTAACTCTAATAATTTGGCCTTAAAATATTTCATCTCTATTTAATTACCTAAGTTCATATCTACATGTTATTTTTTTTTATATCCAGTAATTAATACATTGGTGAGTTTTATATTGATAATGTTATTGAGTTGTTCTTACGAACCTATGAAGACAATGCAGGGCTGCAGTTTGACCGCCAGGCTGAAGACGGCAGCTGCCAACTTCTGTGTCTCACCGTACCACTTGTCAGTCAGTAGAGACACGTCCAGGTTGATGAAGCTCATATTCGCCTCTTTAGCGGTGGCCTTTGCAATCAGGGTTTTACCACAACCTTAAATATAAATACAATCTTACTATAATTATAAGTGCAAATGTTTGGATAGATGGATGTTTGAAGATATCTCCAGAACGGCTGTATGGATCTCGGTGAATTTTGGCATAGATGTAGCACATAGTCTGGAAGAACACATAGGCTACTAAGTTTTTTTAACTTCTACGCGGAAGAAGTTGCGGGCGACAACTAGTAGTATTATTTGTTTTTACACAATACAATGTTTGTAACATTACATATGATATAATAGAAATGTGGTGAAGTACTGGTGTACTTAATTCTTAATAGTAGCAATTACAAAAAAAATATTTAACTTGACTGACTATTGCCCTATAATCCAAGGAAAAACACAAATTTAACAACACCTCACATGTAAAAATTCAGTTTTTTAGGTTACAGTGACAATGAAACAGACATACATACATTAAAACACATACATCCTGGCAAACATCCACTTGTCAGTTGACTAATTATGATCAACTTAAAACATCCTATGTTTACAACTAAATGCAATAAAACCAGTATAAGTTTAGTTGACATGGATGCATGTAACAAAAAGAGTTTTGTTACATGGGTCTAAATATTAAGTTCACAACGAAACTAATTTATAATAACAACTAAAAGTATTTTAAACTTTTGTACCTGGAGGTCCATGCAATAAGACTCCTTTAGGTGGCTGTGTAAGTCTGCTATCAGCAAAGAGTTCCCGTTTCTGTATGGGCAGGATAACTGTCTCACGGAGTTCCTGAATCAAGTGATCCAATCCAGCTATGTCCATCCAGTTAACCTGAATAGTTACAAAACAATATAATACCTGAATGTACAAATGAACCTATTTTAACAATCATCAAACAATATAAAAGATTGGATTTTCTACAACACTAATCTATACTAATATTATAGAAGAAAGATTTGATTGTTTGTTTGCGTTGAATAGGCTATAAAACAACTGAACCAAATTGAAACATTTTTACCATTGGGAAGGTACATCCCCTGTGACTAATTTCATAATTTTTTTTATATCTGCCAAGACAATGTTGCAGACAAAACTAGTCATTAATAAAAATTATGTAGGTTTTTAAAACCCAACCCAAGTTATGACATATTAATCTCTGTGAATTAAAACTGCACACATTAGATTACTGTACTTTTTAATTATGGGAAGGTTGAACTTTGTGGTAGTAAAACTTACATTAATCTCATCCGGTACAACAAGCTGTGAAGCGATGATCATCTCATGGTCCGTCAGCTTGTCTAGCGCCACTGAATGCTTGCCGCCAAGCCCCGCTCTGGAAGACATCCTTCACACATGCAACAGCTACAGTGACTGTTTGTAACTTATTACAGTAAAGCAGTGTTTATTATGCTATGCATTATTTGTAACATCAATGAAAACCCTGCTTTAATCTTGGTAAAACAGTACACCAATAAATATGTAGATGCAATTTTTTACATTATCAGTGATAAATTCATTGTTAATGTAACACTAACAAAGAATGGTGAGCAAATATTAATTCATCTATTAACTATTAACATACACAACATAGTAATTGCAACTTGAGACTAGTATTTATCTATTAGACAGATTTAAAATTAGACCAAGACTAAAAATATCTAAGAACAAGCTCTTTGTTCTAACACAATGTATATTTACTGTTTTCTATATCAATGTGTAAATTGTAAGATTTTAAATGTAATATTAATTCTTTTCCGTTAATGTTAGCATCTCAAATAGTCAAACATTAGCTTAGTCAATCAAAGAGTTTTTTTTCCAATTAAAATGTTGTTTTTGCACAAGCTTTAGGTAAAATTACTAATGTAAGCTTTTAAGTGCAATTAATCATGAAATATGGACATCATTAACATTTATTCAATGAAATCTTAAAGAATAAGAAAAGGCGCAAATTTTAAAACGAATGGAAAAGAGGTTACCACGATCAATACATACTTGCGTAACTGTTCACGGGCCCGCTCCTCAGCTTTCTTCCGACTTTTCGACGTTGGGTCTATCTGGTTCACAAGCCATTTTATGGAAAAATATGTGACGGCTGATACAAAAGCAACACGAATGGCCATTTGAAAGACATCGTTTCTGGTGAATGCTGAACCTTCCACCATCATGCCTTATGCAAAATTATGTAAAAATGAAGAAAAGGCGTTCGTAAGTTACAAACTCAGTATCGACTATTCACGCAACTATGTTTATAAATTTTACTAAATTTTGCAGATAAATCTTTTTACATCTCAAATCATGCAGGGGAAAATTCTGTCAAAGTCAAAGATTTGTCAAAGACAATGATTAGACTTTATGGAAGAGGATATTGCCACAAGAACAAAGGTTATCTTGTTTTTCTGCCACAAACTAAGTGATATCAAAAATGAATCATTTAAAAACCTTTTTTATTGAATAAAACAAAGTCTTAAATTTATTAAAAAAAAAAACAAATTAATAGGAAATAATTTATAAATTTTTGGAAAGTGACTGTTAATGTATGACTTTTATCGTCACTTTTTATTGCCTTTTGTATTTAAAAGTAATAATGTCAAAATCATGTGGTGCATGACATTGACGTTATTCTAACCTTGTTTTATTATTAATGCAGTGTTATTATTTTGAATTTTTATCACAATGAAGAAACCAAAAGGAGGACCTCGTCCTAAAATAGTTAATACACGTAAAGCTATACGAAAGGAAAAAAGGCAGCAAAAGAAGTTACATAAACAAGTGCACTATCAGAAAAAGAAATTGGTTGGAGATGGGAAAAAATTTGAACCGGGAAAGTTTGTTAAACTTCCAACGGGTCAAGAAGAAATTTCCAAGGCAGATAAGGTCTCAATACAAATATTATCATTGTTTAATTCTATTTCTCCTAGAACATGTAACAAGAATAGAAAAATAAATAACCTATTTTACTTATGAAAATTAAATATTAATTAAAAAAAACTGAAAACTTCCTTTCCCATACATTGAATCTTGTTATAATAACAGGATTTACTATATTATTACAGAAAAAGAAGAATAAAAAGCAACCATTGTTCTTGGACATCCTTAATAAAGAAAGACAAAAAGATATGAATGTAGCGAAGAAACTGAAATCGGAAATGGAAGAACAAAGAAGACAAATACTACTCAAAGCTAATGAAGATGAAGACAAGGTTATTAAAAAACTAGAGAAACAACTTGGATTGAATAAATCTAAAAATAAAAACAATTATTTTGCTGATGATGGATTGGACTGTATCCTTTTTAACCTTTAAAACCTTTTATCATAGAAATTCAAATAGTAAATTAAAAAATAAACAATAAAATTCACTGACTACCCTCTCTCACAAAGGACAACACATCACACATTTAAAAACTGTTCAAGGTTGAAAAGTTTAATTTTAGTCACAATAAAACAGACATTCACAACACAAAAACACTTAATGAGCAAATAAGAGAACATCCTTTTTGTTAAAAATAATAATAATACACTGATTATTTTGAATAATTTGATACACTATGATTTGTTTTTATCAAAAACCTTAACAATAAAAAACAGATTTATTAGAAATTTGTGATAGAACTACTTCTGAGCAGATTGTGGCCGCGGAGAAACATTTAGCTGATGTTGAAGGTGATTCAGATTTTGAGGAAGATTTGGCTGTGGTTACTGGGAAGAAATTACCTGATGAAAAGGAACAAGGAAAGGAGAAAAAGAAGAAACATAAAAGTGCTTTAAAAGCGGAAGATTCTAAAGATGATTTTAGTATGGGAGAGAGTGATGAACAAAGTATGTTAGATGATGATGAAAATGTTGAAGATGAAGGTATTATTAGAGAAATTAAAAATCTACCATTAATTTAATGTCCACAAAATTGTTTTATAAATTTCTTTTCTCTTTCAGAATTCAGTGATCTGGGAGATGAAGAAGAAAGTAATTATGAATCGGAAATAGGTGAAGATGAAAGCAAAAATAAAACAAAATCAGATAAAAAAGAAAAAATAATATCTGAAGATGATTTAAATAAAGTATTCAGTGATGATGAAGTATCACATTTGTCTGGTGATGAAGATTTAGATGGATCTGACTTAGAAAGTGGTGAAGTAAATGTGCCAGAAAGAAATGAGAAAGAGAAACCTGATGTTTGGGAGGATATCTACGGCAGGAAGAGGGACAAGGATGGCAATATTATAAAAGTAAGTGTAACTCATGAACTCTTTGTGTTAGTGGTATTTATATTTGATAAGCCTTAACTGTGATTTGTCCCCCTATAATACAGATAAATAAAAATGTAATCAATCCTTTTTCCTGGTAAAAAACCAGAGACAATTCTGTAATTTTCTGTCGTTATCAATGACAATATTTGCTATTTTTAATATTTCAGGAAGAGAAAGGAATTTACATTCCTCCACATTTAAGAAATAAAGATTCCGCTTCCGATAAGGATTTAGTGCAACTAAATAGACAAATTAAAAGTAAGTGTTTGAATTAATCTTACTAATATTATAAATGTGAATGTTTAGATGGATGGATGTATAGATCAAGCTGAAATTTGGCATACGTGTAGAACATAGTCTGGAAAAACATATACTTATTTTTTTAATTTCACGGTGACAGTATCGTCATTCCTACCATGTCATAGATGTAATTTTTGGTAATATTTATTTTGAAAGGCATTCTGAACAAGCTATCAGGTAGTAAGTTGCACTGGGCGTGCTCCTCCATCGAGGGTTTGTACGGTAGCCACAGCCGGGACGCGGTGAGCGGCGCGCTCTGCTCGCAGTGGAGCTGCGCCACAGTGACCTCCTCCGCCGCGCCCGACCGTCTGCTGGCCGAGCACGCCGCGCTGCTCGCGCTGCTGCATGCCAACGTCGCCACTGAAGTCGGTGAGTATACATATAGATCAATCACTGAAGGATTCATATGACAGACAACTGACAGGCCTCTCTGTCAATGTCAAGACCATTGACAGGGAGGCCTGTCAGTTCTTAGGGTTACCAGTGAGCCAAATTTTCTACAAACAATTTGCAACTTATAAACGAGTATCCATAGTATTTCTTACTATTATTGATAAATCTAAATAAATTCAATGAGTCTATAACAAAGTTTGTTTCCCCCTTTTCTGTCTGGTCAATATGAAGCTATCAATGGAAGTTGTTAGTTTATATGTTTTCCGACCACTAAAAGATTGTTGTTGAACTGTATCAGGTCCGGTAAGAGGCGCTATCATCGCGGTAAGTTTTGTCGGAAAATATGTAAAACCTACTCGTAATCGTTTACATGACTTTAACGCTGACAATAAATATTGCAGAGATATGTTTCCAATATAATATAATAAACCGTTTGCATTATTGCAAGTTTATAAAAGAATAATAAGTGGACCTAAAAGACTTTATAACCACAAAGTTGTGTTGGTCAGTGATGATTACTGTTGTTACAGGCGCCCACTTTCTGGAGGAGCTGTGTCTTATGTTTGACAAAATGGTTGACACCGAGCAGGCCGTTGAGGACAAACGTCTTGACAATTTAACGGCCTGTCTCGCATATTTATATAGTTTTAAGGTAAATTTTACTAATATTATAAATGCGAATGTTTGGATGGATGTTTGTTTGAAAGTATCTCCATAACAACTGAACGGAACTCGATTAAATTTGGCATATATATAGAACATAGTCTGGAAGAACACATAGGTTACTTATTATGTTTTTTTAATTCCGCGCGGACAGAGTCGCGGGCGACACCTAGTATTGATATAAACCAGTATAACTGATGAGAGTTGAGTCAGATTAAGATGATTATTTCTTTGGAAACTTTTGTTTTACAAAATAGTACAGCATTTTGTTAATTTTGCACTCTGAGTGCATCATCATTTATTAAGATCAATTGTGTGTGTTAGGACAGTACCAAACGACAGTCAAAGGTCTCTGCCTACCTCTCTGGGCTACAGATGTGAGTTGTTTTGTTTTTCAGATCTTCGACAGCGCTCTAATGTACGACATCTTGGGTCGTCTCCTTCACAAGATATCAGAGAAGCATTGTGACTGCGTGCTGCGCGCACTGCGCTGCGCCGGCGACGTGCTGCGCAGAGATGATCCTCTGGCACTCAAAACATTCATACACGACACGCAGACACGTGTCGCTAAGTTGAACGAGCAAGCTGCTACAGGGTAAGTAAGAAAGTTATCGACCACTAACATTATGTCTCTAAGTATGAGGTACCAACACTAAGCGTATGTTTAAACGTTCCTTATATATTTGTTCGTATGGCAGTTACTCTTTTTAATAAATAATTGTTTATAACTGTTAAATTAGAGGTAATATGAAAATATGATGCTCGAAGGACCATATTCTAAAATCGTTATTTAATAGTTTCCATTATTATTTTTTAGTTATAAATCTACACTATTATGATAGTTTTTGTGTTTTATAATAGGTTTTTTTGATCCTTTTTATATTTGATAGCTTATGTTACCCGGAGATAGTGTAGCTCCCCAACAGTGGACGATTTTTTTCAATCAGGTTCAGTAGTTTTGGAGCTTATTCAATACAATCAAATTATAAAGAGGAAACTCTTTATAATGTCGAATTATAAGATGGAATATTTAATTTACAATTCAGATCTCGAATAAAGTTCTTACTGGAAGTGCTACTCGCTGTGAAGAACAACAATCTGAACAAGATCCCAAATTACGAGCCGACATACGTGGAGAGTTTGAAGAAGTTGTGTCGCGGCGTGGTGCGGCGCGGCAACACTCTCACCACGCTCAACCTGCGTCTCCACGACTTGCTCACAGGTCTCACACTCCAACATAAACATTACCAACGCCAGTAACACAGAGGGGTAGGCAGAGACCACAGACTTCTCTGCGCGCGCTCCTGACTTTTATACTATAAATACGTATAATAATACTATAATGCGTTGCCCATATACATCTGTGACTGTAGATGACTTATGGACATTTAGTCGACAGAGGAGGGGACGCACAGAAAAAGGATATATCACTTTTCTGTGCGTTTATTGCTGTCTGACGATCGTTTAACTTGTCTAAGTGTAGCAATATAATAACTATTATTGTATCATCATCTTTAAAATATATTTTAAGTTAAATTTGAAGTTGAATATTGCAGCGAATGAGCGAGGCAAGTGGTGGATAGTGGGGTCAGCGTGGGCGGGCAACCGGCCGCAGCAGGCGCCCACAGCCGCGCCCTCAGCCGCCCCCGCGCCCACAGCAGACCACAAGCTGCTGGAGCTGGCGAGGCAGCAGCGCATGAACACTGACGTGCGCAGGAGTATCTTCTGTGTCATCATGGCCGCACAGGTACTAGCTCTACTAATATTATAAATACGAATGTTTAGATGTATGGATGTTTATTACGAGGTATCTCCAGAACACATAGGGTGCTAATTAAGTTTTTTTAACTTTGCGCAGTTGGAGTCACGGGCGATAGCTAGTTAGTCTATGCATTGTAACACGTGTCTTATTTTGTGTGTCTTTTGCTGTATATAATTAGAATTCAAAAAATAATTCCGGGGAAAGGAAAGGGGATTTGACGGACGGGGTACGACGCATAGAAAAGTGATATTATCTTTCTGTGCGTCCCCTCCTCTGTCGACTATTTACCCAACATTGTGTGCCAGGACTACATGGAGGCGTTCGAGAAGCTGCAGCAGCTGTGCCTGCGCGGCGAGCAGCAGCGCGAGGTGGTGCACGTGCTGCTCGCCTGCGCGCTGCAGGAGAACTCTTACAACCCGTACTACGCGCTGCTCGCCAACAAACTCTGCCAGTACGACAGGAAGTACCAGGTCAGGGGAGATACAGACAGAGAAGAGAAAGGATAGAGAAACATGGCGAGACTGGTCGCGTGTCTTTTTGCGCTAATTCATATAATTAACAGTCGCTCGATTACCTGCTAAGTACTTAAAGTCAATAATAAAGTTTAAAATATAAAAAAAACAGTGTTTGTAATTAAGACAACATATTAATAAAAACGGAATGTCTGTTTTTAATATAAAAAATATACGTAATCTTACTAATATTATAATTACGAATGTTTGGATGGATGGATGTTCATTTCAAAGTATCTCCAGAACGGCTCCATGGATCTTGATGAAATTTAACATACATATAGAACATAGTTTAGAAGAACACATAGGCCAGTAACTGTGTTTTTTTTTAATCCGCGCGGACAGAGTCGCGGGCAACCGCTAGTATATTTATAACGAAACATTTTTTGAAATTTTCTTGTTTTAGTGTGACGAAGTCGCGGGGCGACTACTAGTATATCTTGTTATTTATTAATATGTTTTTATGATTTCAGTTATCAATCCAGTTCTCTGTGTGGGATAAGATCAAGGAGCTGGAGTCTGTGAGGAAGCAGGCGCTCACAAACTTGGCGCAGCTTCTTATACATTTGATCATGGAGAAAGCATTGCCGCTCTCAGTACTTAAGGTAACATTAAACAAGGCGTAAGCACATTGTATGCTATTTAAAAAAAATAATTACTGGTCTACGTGTTCTTGCAGGCTATGTTCTACATCTATGCCAAATTTCTGTGAAATACATGTAGCCGTTCTGGAGATACCTTGTAATAAATATCCATACATTCAAACATTCGCATTTATAATATTAGTAAGATAAAATGTTGTTATTTCCTTTCCACAGATAATACAATTCTCAGATTTAAACAAGAAGTCAGTTCGCTTCATGCGTCAGATCTTGCTGGCTGTGATAATGAACGCAGATCTCCAGGCTTCCCTGGAAGTCTTCCACAGGATATCAAAGTCTCCCAAACTGCACATGTTCCGTGAAAGTCTACGGTTATTTATACAACACTTCCTCATCAAGAACGCAGGCAAAAAGAGCAGTATACTGAGCGAAGAAGAAATGGCGACATTGAAAGAACGAGCCTCAGAAGTTGATAAAATATTAACACAACACGAATCTAAGCTTAAATTTTGAATTAAAATTATTTTCATTATATATTGTATCATTTAAATATAATTAATTTATAGTAAATAAAAGATTTTATGTTTTTTATGGACGGATTTAAAAAAAAATCATAGAGAAAAGTTAGGTTATGTTATATTTATATTATCATCTCCCTGTGATTAAACTACACATTTGAAATTAATTTATATTATATTTCTTACGACAAATAGGTTGACGATGGCAATTATTTTTTTTTTATATTTATTTCTTTTAACAGATTATACATAGGTAAATAGAAATGGCGGGAATATAATTAGTTGCCAGTTGCCAAGCACGTTATCTGGTGCTTCTGACAAGTTTATCAGCTGATTATTTGAACGTTGATAGCTTGTACAAAATCGACACGCGCAACGAACGCGCGTTTCCCATGCAACGACAAAAAATTGTGCGACGTCGAAAATATACTCAATAATATATTAAATATTCTATAAGTCGATTTTAAAAGAAAGCAATAATAACCTCTTGTTACGTGATCCGTGATCACTTAATTTTTTTAAATTTCTGGTTAAATTTAGGTTATTAATGAAAAACAGAAAATGGCAATACTAAAATAGTAAATAACTTTTTAAATTTCAACAAAGTGAACTTGAACGACTTCATATTATTCCAAAAAGAATCTTTTTAACGATAACGTTAGACGTTACTGCAATTCGAAACTTATTACATAACCTAAAAATAAAAATGAAATAGTTATTTCATGGCACTTTTCTAAGATGATAGTCATCGTTTTATACTGCATATCTCTGACATAGCAAATACGTTAGCGTTTATTAATACATAATTTAAATATGATCCGAACATATCAATTTTCAGCAACTAAAGGACTTGTGTAAACTCATTGGCGGCAAGCGGTCTCAAAAGACCGTTGTAACATTATCTAATGCTGATAACATCAAAATGATAGTGTGAATAAATTTATATGTTGACCCTCTTTCGCTTAATCGATAAGGAACATTATAATGAAGCCACATGCCATTCAAATATTGCCTTAAAATAACAGTATTTATTTAAATAGATTAGGATGAGGTTAAAATAATATAAATGACAATTGAAACAGATATGGGTAGACTTGTTAAATAAGCCGGTCATTAACCTAAACACTTTTCGTTTTTCATTGAAAACGTATTAAGCACAGCCGAGTGCAAATTGGCGGCAAGGTTTATAAAGTGGGTGTGGTAATTAGATGACAAATATTTAGTTGGATCATTGCGTCAATACATCTGCCTCCAAATATAAATAAAAATCATTGTTTACATTTGTCTCCATATCGTTCCTAAACCACTGGTCACATTGTGATTATGTTAGGATTTTAGTTTTTGAAGTTTAAAATGTGACATGCTGGGTTCAGAGAGCTTCTAATTAATATAATGTTTATTCGCTAATAGTACGTTAGGTATGTTCTGTTCTGGAGCTGCTATCTTCAAGCATCAATGATTATTGACAACTATATACTTAGCCAACCTCATATGCAAGCATGTTCGATAAAATGCAACTGGAGTTCGTATTAAATGAACGTAAATCGAGGTTTGCATAGGCATCAACATAACTCACACCTAACACAGAGGGGAGCAATAAGTATCTACAACCTTCTTCTTTATAAGTATTATTTTCGTTTTTGTACTACGGGTATCTGAGGATTGATAAAAGATCATTTTTGCTTGGCAGTTATCGTTTAGCGCACCAGCTAGAGAGAGAAAAGTAGCAAAAGTAAGGAAAGTGAAAAGAAAATTATCTTGGCTCTCATTTTTAACAGTTTTATTATAACATTTGATAATTTTCATCTTGAGGTCTAATTTTGTTTTTTTTTTAATCAAAACGCATACAATTTTTATAATTAATTTGGTTTGACGTCTCCTTTTCAGGTTTCCGAACGAAAATATATGTGGATAAAACAGTTTCATTGAAAACAGCACCATCTATATTATATCTAGAAAACGTGTAAAATTTAATTTTTTTTGTAGTGTGGTTTGTATTTTACATTAACTAAACAAAGAAAAATAGATTTATATTAAGTAGTTATAAACAATAGTCTTTCATAAGTGTTTAAATAAGAAAAAAATCCATTAAATTTATATCTGAAACAAAAATCTCTTTTTCCAATTTCGAATATTCGCGCCGAACGTTACAAACATCACGCCACCTTGCGATGAAAAGTAGAATCCGCAGTGAACAAAGAGAGCTAGCTAGCCACTACTAGAAATTAAGGTTGTGTTTTATCTCTGTCCGACGAGCGCGTACGGGTCGAGCGCGAATGGGACGCCTTCTGCACTTTCGGCCATCAATTCATAACCATCTTTCTTTCTTGTGCAACTGTTTCTTGTCGGTCGTGTTCTGTGATCTAGTGTTAATGCAGGATGGACGCCATTCGCGCGAGATAATTCCCAGTCCTGCCGTGTAGATAGTGTTGCGCGTGAAGTGCCGGGAGTATGCTGTAGTGTCTGGTGCGTCAGGGTGGTCTCAGTGCGGCGAGGAGGTTGGGAGGTCGGGAGCTAGGGAGGTCGGCGAAGGCGCTCGGCGATCGGCTGGGCATGGCGGGCGCAAGTTAGCGGGCGGGAGCGGCGTCCGCTCGCGCTCCGCCGCCGGCCCGATGAGCGGGGCATGCTCGGCGCGGCGGAGGTTTTATGGGTATTTGTGTGAGCTGCCGGCGCCGCGAACGGAAGGCACCCGAAAAGGGTTGGGTGCCGCGAGGACCCGCGAAGGGCGCGGCGGCGGCCGAACTGCTGCCACGGCACGCCGACCTGCCAGCCATGGCAAACTCTATCTCAAGCATCAAGATGAATAACCCCTTCAAGGTCATCGTCAGCAAACAGCGGAAACGCTACACAAAGAACGGCTTCAATTTGGACTTAGCATGTATCCTTTTTTTTGTGTTTCTAGTGCTGTGTGAGATATTTAAACATGATCTGTGTCTTGGAATTGGTAAGTAGCTATCTGTACTATTCATCAATGCATTCGTTAGGGCTTCGGTGACGACATTTACTCGGCAAAGTTGCGGCGAAGCCTGATAACCTGTCTCGAGCATCCTTAAATTGTTCAAGGGCACATAGAATTATAGCGTGCACGTCGCCTCGGCCGTAAACTATTTGACGATTTCGTCTGTTTTTGAGGTTATAACGCGTCTTAAAACAATCAAATTGCGCTTAAATTTTCACTCACAGATAAATAACCTATAAATGCGATAAGTCGTAATGAAGATTAAGGTACTTATGAGTGCTTAAAACCATATTTAGTTAGAATAATGCCATTTTATCCATCGACTAACATAAATAGACAAGGCTAGTCCCTCCAGTACAAGTATAGATAATATTCAAGTCCATTATCTTGCATAGCAACAGTGTCCCTAGCTCATATCTTTATAGACTTAGGATGTAGTTTGCTTCTAAGACACATGAACTGTTTGATTATCATAGTAAAGAATCTCTGATATGCTTCATATACAATATAAAGTACATTTTGTTCCCAATATAGATCCCCTATAGATAAGATTTAAAATTGTTCTCAAAGTTTTGCACAAGTGAATATTGAATACAGAGTTATTAGAATAGTTATAACATTTATTTCCTTATTGTAGGCCTTGATTGAACATATTTATTATAATTCTTAACAATTATTTTTAATAAATAGTTCCAATATTGTAATAAATCATGCCTTATGAAGGTTAAGTTCACTTTGGCTGTCAATTTAATAGTAAATATATTTTTAATAATATTAGTGAAGGAATATTATTATATTGTAGTTGTAACAATTGCTATTCAATTTTATTTTGTTCATTTTATATTGTTAGCAAATACGTCTCGTTAGTCATTGGCAGATATAGATATATATATAGATAAATATGGTTTGTAACACTTAATTACTACACTATTAGTGTGATACAGAGAGGTAGGTAGCAACCACAGACTTCCTTTAGGATAGTCTCTTGTTTCTATTACATTCATACATCTAATAAATGTTTGCCAGTTTCCGGTGCTCTTAGTTTAATTTAAGTGTGTTATGTGTAGATTTTACTTTTAATTGATGGTTCTTGAAACTGTTCTCTTACTTAATTAGATGTTTATAATGAAACAATTATAACATAATCCTTAAAATAATGTAAAAAAGTAATGAACGATAAATTAGCCTATTTGATAAGTATCAGTTGCTTTCAGGTTTTCTGCAATTTCTTGCAAATGTCCAAATTTCTATTTTCAGAAAGTGCGCAAAGAACTATAACAATTAAACCACACTTTTAACCTAGAGATGTAGGAAGTATTTATGCATTTCCATTTGGTTTTAAATTAGTACTAACATTGCAGTTGTGCTGTACTTGTAATATTCACTCCACTAGAGTTTGTACTACTGAAATCTTTTGTTTAGCAATGGTGAGTATCCTTGATCCATACATCCATGTTACTACACCGATAACATCACCATTTCTATACCTGCGCTAAAACACTTGAAAGTAATGTTAATAATCTTACTAATATTATAAATGTGAATGTTTAGATGTATTATTGACGGATGTTTTTTAAAGGTATCTCCAAAATGGCTGAAGGTATCTCAGTCTCGGAATATAGTCTTAGAAAAACATATAGGCTACTAATTAGGTTTCTTTTAATCCACCATGGACAGAGTCGCGGTCCACCGCTATTATGTACATATACTATGTACTATATTTATGTAGTATATTGGCAAGTAGTGCTGTTTCTCTGTATCAGTAGTGTGATAATGCTATCAGAGCCTGCATTGGTCAATGACCTGAAATGCTTAGCTAAAATTCAATGCGTTGCTTTTGTTAATATGTCATAAAATGTAATTTTAACAAATTGAAAAAATTATGAGCAAGTATTCTTTAAAAAAAATGGGGAAATTCTATTAGGAATTGAAAGTTAAGTATAAATCAAATTAATACTAAAAGATATGTTTTACGTTTTGCTTGTTTCATTTGTAACCAAGAAGGTTAGACAGTATAGTTTGGCATTATTTTAATTCCTAAATTATTCTATATTAAATGTGTACTATAGAAGGTGTGGTCTGTGCTTTAGGAAAATCTTTAGAATTATAAACCACTTGAGACAGCCTAAGATATAAAAAAATGAACAATGAATTTTAATTATACATTGTGATTGTTAAAGTTATCCATTAATTTATTCATGGTCCGTAATCGTGTTAATATGAATGTGACACGTTCTGTCATTTGGCGGTCTGTCAATGCCGAGTGCGGCAGGCGATCACTTAGCACCGTTTTTTGGCAGCTACATTGTTTGATGTTACGCTTAGTGGTGTCAGAAAGCTATATTGTTGCAATAATATATTGTATAATAAATATTAAGGTGTGGTTACATTGGAGTGTATGATAATTTTGTGTACATTAGTTGTTAGTGCCTAGAGTTAATTCTTTTCCTTGTAGCCTAATGTTTAGTTTCTAAGCATCTTTTATATATTGGTATCTCAAATGCAATAAGCATACAGAAATTAATTAATTGCGTTAAATTGTATGTTTTTGCTTTTTTTTATTGTTGCCTCTTTTATATTCAAGAATATTAGAATCGTTATCCATGACCTCTTTATTAAATACACAAAAAAGTTTTCCGTATACCATAATCGTATTCGAAGTAGTATTTATGCAATTTAAGGAGTTTTTTGATGTTATTTGTGGCATGCATGCCGGGTTTATATTACGCCAGTACAGTAAGACAGTAGCACTGAAAATCAGCGCTGGCATACAACTGGCTTAATGTAAACATTAACTTGCGCCAGTGAGAATACATGCTATCTCTACTGTCCTACTGTACTGGCATAATGTAAACTAGGCATTATGTCTTTTTCTTTTTTTGCTACTATGGTATTACTTTAGCAATTACCTATTTAATTTTTCATGATGTTTTTTTTGAAATAAGAGTTTATTCTACAGTTTAATGGATCAGCACCTTTATGCACACATTGATATTAATTTTCAAATCACACATTAGAAAACCATATTCACATCGTAATGAAGGTCTAATCAAAAGGTCGTTGACCTCAATGTAGTCGCCGTCATACTCGGCTCTATTATGATTTATTTTTTGTTTACTTTGTAAAATACACTCGACGTGTCGCTTAGCAACAGCATACAATCTGCGGTATGGTACTTTGCACATGTTATGAGCGTGTGGATTTTATTACTTACGCCTGTTTAAAATAACTTGATTCCGTTTTTATGACTTGCTCGAAGAAGGGTATAGCTGTCGTCGGTTTTCAATTTTATTTACATGTTGACCTTGGTGCGTGTGCTGACAGCCACACGTGATGGGTCATGGGTTCGTAGGATGACAACTCTTGTCTGATTCTTATCGAACAGTTAACATGTGATTATAAATAGAGTGGAAGGGATTCATCTTATTTCTTACTTATCTTATTAATAAAAAATGTACTATATTAAAAATATGATAAATAAATGTATATGGATATAAATACAAATGTTTGGATGGATGGACGGGTCTCAATGAAATTTGGCATAGATATAGAACATAGTCTGGAAGAATACATAGGCGATTAAGTTTTTTTTTAATTACACGCAGACGGAGTTGCGGGCGACAGCTAGTCTTTGTATATTTTGTGTATAATTTACTTGTAATTTAACTTAGTTGAATAGTGAAACGAAGGTTGTCGGTGCTGAGGCAAGCTATTAATAAGTAATTAATTTAACTAATTGACTGCTTGATAATTATCGCTTTAGCTCGAAGTGCATTATTAGCGCTAAAGTGGGCTGAGTTAAATCTATGTAAAAATAGTTTAAAATAAGAAAGTACTAAAGTTAATTTTAGTCAAGTTTAACTTACTATCATATTTGTTACTAATATTATAAATGCGAATGTATGGATGGATGGATGAATGTTTGTTAGAAGGTGTCTCAAAAACGGCTGCGTAGATCTCGGTGACATTTGGCAGTGCAGAACATAGCCTGGAAGAACACATAGGCTAATTCACTTTTTTTTTGCGTGGACGGAGTCGAGGGGAGGCATCTAGTTTATATATAACCTTTTCAGATTTAATTTATACAATCTGTACACATTTTAATTGTCTTAGATTATTAAATTAAATTTTGAAAATAAAACTCCTCTTATTTCCTTATTTTGATGGCCGCTTAACAAGTCCGAATTTTTGGAATGTTTTAAATAGATATAAACAAAAAAGTATTTTACATTTCTGGTTAATACTAGGTTAATGGCTAAGGGTACGGACTTCCAACCACCTAGTCTAGGGTTTGAATCCCGCCGTTCTACTATATCGTAAACCATAACACAAGTCTAGAGTTTAGTTGGAATGTAAAATAAATATTAAATTAACATGTACAGTTCCATTTTCTGAAATACATATTGTCATCCTGCTCAATATATTTGAAAATAACAGATGACAAGTTTTGTATAGATATGTAACAGCAGTGGAATCTCACGGTTAAGTGGTATATCTCAGTTATAATTTGTTGGCGTGTGTTTGGTGTGTGGTCACTCTCGCCGTCGCGTTGTCGTCACGCGATCGTCAATCATGGTGTGATGGTAATCGCCGATACAAACTGAATCGTCACGGCTATAAACTGATGTTTGCTATTTACTTTATGAACATGCGTTTATTATCGATTCAGAGTTGATTGGTTACTAAGGTAGTGTAGATTTGTTGGAGAAATCGTCGAAAATTTATGTTACCCGTCTACTTGTCGCTTACGAGTCGGTCCGCGCGGAATTAAAAAAAAACTTTGTAGTCTATGTTTTCTTGCAGTCTATGGTCCACATCTATGCGAAATTTCAAACATTTACCCATCCACGAAACATTTGCATTTATAATATAATAAAATAGTCGATATCAACCAATGGGCGACCACTACTGTATATAAT